GATCATTATTCTCAGGTTGTAAGAATTTTCCCTTCTTTCCCTTCACCACCCCAAAGACTGTCCAGTCCCCAAAGGCATCAAATCCCTGTGGTGGTTGCAGATGCTGCTGTGACAGTCCTCAGACTCTTCTTGGGGATGGCTTTGCTATGGGAGGCTTGGAATGTCCTTGTTGTCCCCTAAAGCTTAGCTCGAAGTCTCAGGATGTGTCTTGGCAAGTGCAAAATCCAATAGTCATTGAACCCTTGATAATCTTTTATGCCCTGTAGAAGTCTGTTTTTATTCATCCGTTTCTTCAGGAGGTAAGAAATAAAGCTGTTCCATTCTAGGCATAAATTAGCATTTATAACAATGCCGTGCAAAAAATGTAATTTAAATAGAACTGATTAGAATTTTGATAGGGCACCAAGGAACTTCTAAACAAATGCTGATCAGGTAATGAGTGGAACAAGTCATTTATTTTAGTGGTTCAGTTATCTGTTCAGTGATTGGGTCACAGTTTCCCAAACATATACGGTGACTGTTCATTAATTATGCACTTCTCACTCAGTAATTGTCCAATTTAACTAAAAACTGTGAGCTTATAGGCAAAGCCACAGAGGACAGCAGAGGGAAAAAGTAACAACCTAGATAAAAGTATATTTTCTTTTTGTAATAACATTTACTAATTCAAGGACTTGGCGAGAGGGGAGCTATTGTTAGACTTTGGCCTTGGTCTTGTCTTTATACAACAGTCTAAATTGCTCCCCATTTGTTAAGCAGGGACATTTAAGCTCCAGAGTGCCGAGCTTTGCAAATGAGGCTACACGAGTTGGCATTCAGCCTGTCTTCGTAGGTATAGCCTCACCTTTGGATCAGTCTGCGATGTGACGAACGCTATCGGTTGAATCACATGTTTTTCTTCAGGTGCATCATCCAGAAAAATGTTCTGAATCAGTCTGAAAGGTTAATTTGCAGGATTTTTCTCCTTTGATAGGTTGGAGGTTTTCCTTTTATTAAGAAGAATGGAATGTTTCCTTGTTATTTCATGGTAGTCCAGCTCACAGCTGGCACATTCTGGATGTGGTTGCTCCTCCACTGTATCATTAGTCAATGTTCTGTTTTACTTATTGATCATCTTTACTGGTAATGAAAAATCAGTTTATCAGTCCTGTTGTCTTGATATAATCCGGATGTTAGCAGGATGTCACTTTCTGGAATGCAGATGAGAAATTAAGTCCTAGGAAAGGTAATAATTTAAACAGGTAACAATTTGCTCAGGATGAAACATTGTTTCTAAAGGAAGAATCATCAGTGTGTTAGAGTACTAGTGTTGCTTGCCCACCTCACCCTGGGTGTTTTCAGGTGTTTTCTTGTATGAAGGACTTCCAGGCATGTAGCTCTGCAACGTGAGTCCTGCTTTGAATGAGCACCTACTATATGAGGCAGGTGAGAAGAAAGGGCTAATGTAGTCCCATAGTCTGGTGGGCTAATTCTTGGTACAGTGATTTGTATAAGTGACACTGGTCTTTATTTATGCTGCTGCCTGAAAAGAGAACACCTTCTGTCCTCCTGTCCTTTGGGGAGTGGCTGAATACAAAGCAAGCATCTAAGGCAGTACCCAGTGGAGGCCTCTAATACATTGCTCATCATTACTGAATTAATAAAGCTGGGGACTAGATAAGGCCCAAATGCAGGCAGTAGAGTGACAAGCGGGTGTACAGAATTTCCTTCCTGTTGGAAAACAACAGCAAGTATCTCTCAGAGAGACTCTTTGTTGCCCAAACTTACTGTACCAATGGGGAAGAAAAAATGAAAGTTTGTAATTGCTGGAAGAATTTACAGTGTTCTAGCTTCGTGTTTGTAACATGTCACCATCACTGGGACACCTATGTCTTCTAACATGTGTCAATCCATTTTACAACTGAGTAAACTAAGGCAAAGGGGGTCAGGGGAAAGATAGCCATACTCACAAAATAATTCTGAGGCACCTGTCCACCTCAAAGCAAGTTTAAACTGCCTTTGCCCATGGATATCCCTGTGCCTCTCTTTCAAAATAAGGTAAAAAAGGAATGAGATGTATTGGAGATTGCTGATATTATTTTCTACAGTGATGTTTTTGGTTTAATGAATTATGATATTTAGAAATAGGCTAAGAGAATTCATTACCTGAAGACAAACCAACGGCAAATGGATAAAATATTTGGTTTGGGGTAATTTATGTTCTCTGACTACGTTAACTAGAGCAATTAACTAGATTATTTCCCTAATGTGAACAATGACTATATTCATACTAAACAATTAATTGAACAATTGTGGCAGGGTAAGCACTTACTCTATTATTTTTTCCTTCTCCTCATGTCACCTTTTCCACACATGCCTGGCTCTCTCTGTAAGAGCAATTTCCACAGCATAATGTCTATGTGAAGATTGTAATCTCTCAAAAAATCATAGCAAGGAACTATGGCTGCACATTTATTCTCAGCAGATCTCCACATATCTTTGGATTTTTATGTTGTGCTTACTTTACAATCACTGAGTTCCATGCTATAATGTCTCCATTATTTTGGTGGGCATATTAGAGCTGATTGTTTCTCTCAGCAGCCTTCAGCTGCCCCCTGTGAGACCTCCACAGCTTACCTTATCATAATATTGGAAAGCAATTTCTCTTGACTGCTGTGAACCAACGCCGGAAATCCAAAATGCTGCTACAGTCATTAAGTGATTTCCAATTAGTTAATTGGTTTCACAGGCTGCTTCTCTCTAAACTGCACCTTAAATGAAAAGCAGAACCATCCATTTTTGAAAGAGGAAAAAATCCTGGGGCCTTTGGGTTTTAAAATCCTGAAGCACAGCATTCTTTGGAAGAAACTTCAGTAAAAACACCGGCCCTGCAGAAGAGAAAATGTTATTATTATTGCCACAGAAAAAGAATGGAATCACTCTTTTGGCTTTCCCACATTGTCCAGGGTTTATGTTGCCCACTTTAACTTTAGATCAAAGGAAGACAGACGATTATCACAGAACAGCACAGCACATGGAGACTTTCTTGATCAACACTAGTTCTTTTCTAGGGAAGCTTCCTGGGCCTCTGTGTTAGGTGCCCCAGGGCTGTGTAAGCTTGGCTGCTCTGGGATGCTATATTAAACCTCACTGAGCAGTAGGGGAGAGTGCTTGAGAATGGTTCTGCAAGAAGCTGCTTTTTGGAATGGGAGTGGGAGGTGATTATGTCTGTGGACTAGCAAAGAGAATGGATAGAAGGGAGCGTAAGTTGGTCTAGAATATTTCTTGTCAACACATGTATTGTTAAGTTAATGGTGGGGCCATAAACACAAGTAGTGAACAATATTTGATTTACACAATGGGGCAAATAAAATAGGATAAACATCCAAGACGGTAAATAGGATAGTAACGGATGTACCCAGTAGGGTAAATGTTTCATCTGTTTTCCCTGATAGAGAAAACTTGGCTTTAATAGTAGATAAAATGCATACCAAAAAAAATGCAAATTTTCCTCTTTATTAGACAAAGAAATAGGCTAAGAGAATTCATTACCTGAAGACAAACCAACGGCAAATTGATAAAATATTTGGTTTTGGGGTAATTTAAAAGATGCAATCTATCAAGTCAGAAACTGCAGAGTGTAGTAGCTAGAAGCATGGACTCTGGAGCTGGACTATCTGGGTGGACATCCTGATAGTCACTTTCCAGTTGTGAGATTTTGGGCACGTTACTTGACCTCTCTGTCCTCCAGCCTCCTGGGAAGAGGAGGACAAGGATGACACCATCCTCACAGGGTTGTTATGAGGAGTAAACTGGTGGTTATGGAGCTGCAGGCCATCATCCTAAGCAAATTAAAGCAGGAACAGAAAACTAAACACTGCATGTTCTCATAGATAAGTGGGAACTAAACCTGGAGACACATGGACATAAACATGGGAACAACAGGCACTGCGGGCTACTAGAGGGGGAAGGGAGGAACGGAAGCAGGTGTGGGTTGAAAAACCACGTACTGGGTACTATGCTCACTACCTGGGTGCAATATACCCATGTAACAAACCCATACCTGTACCCCCGTATCTAAAATAAAAGCTGAAATAAAACAAATCCCTTAGAACCAGAGCTGATACCTTCTTAAATAAACCAAATTTTATAATATGGTATGTTTTGAAAGATTCACCTTTTGATCTCTCCTTTGAAGAAAACCTCTCATTTTATGGTTAATTATCCATGAGAACCAATTCTCCAAGGAGGGCAATAGATAAGGCGCTGCCGGCCCCGTCAGTTGGTCAGTCCATCTGTCAGTCAGCTGTACTCCCTGCCATCAGCTCTTTAAGACAATTTCATTCCTCCAAACTCACCCAGTGCCTGATCTTTTTGTTAAAGAGTAATGCTTATGTATAGAAGTAGCTTAAATCAGAAAGGTAGAGGAGGCAGTCATTGGAATATTGGCTCACAAAAAGGCAATGAGTTTCATTGTGTGTGCTTGTGTGTGTGTGTGTGTGTGTGTGAGAGAGAGAGAGAGAGAGAGAAGGAGACAGACACATAAACACACAGACACAACACAGAGACACACATATGCACATACAGCCGGTAGGAACAGAAAAATCTTCCATGTGATCAGGGACCATGCATGAGAGAGTCAGTTCACTGGTGAGAAGGAAATCAGGGACGTGAGAGGAGTAAGGGAAGCAAAGAAGGCCGTTGAGGACGGAAAGCCCCATCCCTGGCTCTGGTGCCTTCGTGTCAGCTTTAGTAGCAGTTGGTTCATCATTTCAGCAGCCTGGAGTCCTTTAGTAATGACTTTATGGATTAAAATTTAAAACCAAATTAAATGTGTTTACAAAACAGCACCCACACTGAATTGATAACGAGCTGCCAAAGTTGGGCTTGTAATGATCTCAATCCAGAGATCTGACATGCTGCACGTGTCAGCGATGGTCTGAGTGCTGTTCACGTGTGTAAAACTGCAGCCACCCTTTCTCCTGTGTCATTCCCCACTCCCCCTGCCCCCGCCCCCGGCGCCCAGCCTAAGTGTAGCACTTGTAGGTGATATGCTGGTGGGCACGAGTAATGCATTTATTTATAGGCACATATTTGCTGGTCTTGAGAGTAGTAACTCTGTTAGAAATTTGTTAGCTTTTTTTGGTTTGTTTTTAAAATTTTTCCTTTTAGGTTTCCTTATGCAGCACTTCCATTCTGGCTGAAACCACGTTTTGAGAATAGTAAGTATGAAATCTCGTAATTACATATGATTTTTGATATGGTGTACTTTGAAAGTGAAATGTTTGCAGGAATGAGGGTCCCCCTGCCTCCTTCCCCTGCAGCTCCTTCATTTCTAAACACCTTGTTATTTCAGAGAGGGAGAATCTTTCATTCCGGTTTTATGGAATAGAATGAAGTATTTTTCCACTCATATTTTGTTTTTAGAACAAGAACTGCTCTTTCAAGTTGTTAATCAGTATAAAGGAAAGGAGGCATCAAAGGGAATGCTGCTGCGTCCTTTCTAAAGGGAGTAATATATTTTTCTTTAATCAAATATATCGATAGATTTAATTCTATGGTCCATGAAGATAATTAGGACTCAATAAATATTAAATCAATCAGCAAATAACCTTTTCCTGCCCTTGAGGAGCTTATGATCTACTGAAACAAGATGAATGGCATGCATCTTTATCTTTTTAACATCCTTTGGCCCTCTATTTATGGGAAACAAACTCACAAGAATTTCCATGCAGGGATCCTGAAGAGGTTTGGCCTGTTATCCACTTAAAATTTTTTATAAGCCAATGAGAAGATGCTTTGGAGTTATTACCTGAGCAGCAATATTGCATGTGAAATGGCTCCCTTGAAAAAGAGTTAATTTCTAAAAACAACACCAGAACTAAAGAGTGTGTGGCTGGTGGTGTGGCCAAATGATCTGCAGTGTGTCTGCAGGGTAAGGAGAGGGGAACGAGCACCCTGGGATGAGACTTTGTCATCTGTTAATCTCAAGACGTAAAGCCATAATTCAATTACATGGGATTCCATGCTAATATTCCTCTTGTCAATGGCTTTTCTGTTTCAGAAGGCAGCAGAATCCCACTGTAGAGTCAATGGGTGTCTAAAGCCTGATTAATTGTATTGTGGTGCACATGGAATATTTAGTTTCTGGATGTTATTTATGTTGAGACAGGAGCGGTCTTGGGGGACTGGAGATGCATTAAACCCCACACAATTAACAAATGATCTTTTCCTTCCAGAGAGGCCCTGTGTTGCTGTCTGGGCTCCGGTGGCCCTGGGTAAGCTCTTGGCTTCCTCCTGACCTGCAATAAGCCTGCTCTTCCTGCTTACGATGCATTAGAAAGAAACAAAATGCACTTGTTTGAATCGATATTGGGCATTAAGCAACTTCTGGGCTTTATGTCAGGGTCTCTGGTAGGAGAGGTTTTCCTCTGTTTCCACTGGGGTTTGGGTGGCAGGAAATTTAAGACAAAATGGGCTAGAAGTTTAATCCTTGGATGCATTTAGTCTTGTGACTGTTAGTTGGCTCTCAAGTTTTTGCAAAGTACCTTAGTTAACAGGAGGGAGGGCGATGTCCTCAGTTAACATCTCATCTTTTCCCACTGCTCTGCCACTTTTTACCTTGCCCCTTCCACCTGGAATGTGCTTCCTTCTCCCTTGAGATGCCCAATCTCAGCTCATTCTTCAAGAGACAGCGAAAATGCCACGTTGGTCTTCCTTGGTGCCTTCCTTCATTAATTCTGCAATCAACCATCTCCCCACAAAAAAACCATACCCAGGAAGCATCATAGTATTAAAAAAGATTGACATTTTTGGACTAGATAGGTCTGAGTTTACTTTCTAGACCTTACAGTTAGTAGGTGTATTCACCTGCTAAGACTACCTGTCCACTTTTAGCTTTGCTTTTCCTTAACTGTAAAATGGGGATGATACCACTAGGGTTTTTAGGAGAGTTAAGTGATGTATTAGTCTGTTTTCATGCTGTTGATAAAGACATACCTGAGACTCATTTATAAAGAAAAAAGAGGTTTAATGGATTCACAGTTCGGCTGGGAAAGCCTCACAATCATGGCAGACATGGCCACATCTTACATGGCAGCAAGAAAGAAAGAGAGAGAGCCAAGCGAAAGGGGAAGCCCCTTATAAAACCATCAGATCTAGTGAGACTTATTCACTGCAATGAGAACAGTATCGGGGAAACTGCCCCCATGACTCAATTATCTCCCACTGGGTCCCTCCCACAACACGTGGGAATTATGGGAGCTGCAATTCAAGATGAGATTGGGTGGGGACCCAGCCAAACCACATCGAATGATGTCACCAAGTACAGGGCCTGGCAGAGAATACCCCATAGATTTATTCCTTCAGTCTTTCCCAGTTCATTCAGCTAACTGTAATTCTTAATCTGTTTGGGGTCATGGGTCTGTTTCTGAATCTGATGAGAACTATGGTTTCTTCTCTCAGAAAAAAAATACATGTAAATACATTTAAAAACTCTCGGACCGGACATGTTGGCTCATGCCTGTCATCCCAGCGCTTTGGGGGGCCGAGGCGGGCAGATCAGAAGGTCAGGAGCTCGAGACCATCCTGCTGAACATGGTGAAACCCCGTCTCTACTAAAAATACAAAAAATTAGCCAGGCAAGGTGGCGAGTGCCTATAGTCCCAGCTACTCAGGAGGCTGAGGCAGGAGAATGATGTGAACCCAGGAGGCAGAGATGGCAGTGAGCCGAGATCACGCCACTGCACTTCAGCCTGGGCGACAGAGCAAGACTCTGTCTCAAAAAAAAAAAAAAAAAAATTCGGACAATTCAGGAACTTCAGGGGTCACTAGATCCCTATAGTCCCAATAAGAATCCAATAGGGGTGGTTTTGATCCCTAAGGGGTTAACCACCCCCACTTCCCTCCAATAGCCAATTTATGCAAAGCACCTGAAAAGGGACCTGCCACTTAGGAGGGCCTGAACAAATGCTAGTCAATCTATCAGTTTCTAAATTACAATTAGAACTCACCCCATGCCTGGAGAAAATCTAGCTCTAATTTTTCCTTATATTTAGTTTTGAGAAGCTGTCGTGTGCAAGTGACAGAAATACCTCTGAGCAGAGTCTAGTCCTTGACTGACATGTCTTCCAGCTGGCCTGCCATACCTTGTTTGAACAAATTTGGCCTTTTCAAAAAAATCTTCCCTTTCTTGTCGGACTCTACCCTGCAGTCCTGTGTTGCTGCTACCCAGCCAGGATTCGTGTTCTCCTGACATCTCTCTCTCCACTCCCTGTATGGAATTTATAGCAATTATCTTTTGGTTGGTCCCAGTGTCTGTATTTTGGCAGGCCGCCCTGTCTTCCCTGTGATAACCGCTTTGCAGACAGTGTAGCCGAGGCTCTGCCAAAGCCTAATGTCACCCTTTGTCAGATGCCGTCTGGGTCCAAGGGTCACCGACACCTGCCCCTCCCCTCCTCATGTCTGCTGGTGCAGGTTCCCCTTGCACTATATTTAAAAGCACACAATGCTGTGTGGGGCTGGCTGTGATCCAGTTCATTTGAACAAAGTTAGCAGTGAACCTGGATAATTCAGCCACCTCGAAATGTTTTTTTATGGCCCGCACTACCTGGATTGGTTTGTCTGGCTGTGTACTGCAAGTAAATGAACTGGATAATCGCTGTATTTCTATTCCACTCCGTGCTGTGTAGCCTGCGCCTCTGGAAACAAAAGTTTTCTCTAAAACAAAGTCACTTCTCAGGAACAATTATGCCCCCTGGGGATGAATATCTTTGTGAATGTGTGCCAAAGTATGACTAAACAAATTGGCTCAAAAAGTAGCTTTTCCCTGTTTGACTTTCATTTGATAGTTTCATCGAAGATCGATGAGGACAACAAACACCTCTAAAAACAAAAACAAAAGCAAAGTTTTCTCCCCACTTCCCCTAAATCCTCTTATTGATGTGCTCCAAGCCAAATGTATGTTTCAGGCTTTATTTTGTTATTCTATGGCTGCATTTTATTTGATTTTAATTAAAAATGTAAAATTTGTATGTATTTGGGAGTACAGGTGTAGATTTCTTATATGCATATATTGCATAGTGGTGAAGTCTGGGCTTTTCATGTATCCATCGCCTGAATAGTGAACACTGTGTTCATTACACAGATAGGTAAGATTTCAATCCTCACCCCCTTCCCACCCTCCCACCTTTGGTAGTCTCCAGTGTCTACTATTCCACTCTGTATATCCATTGCATATTCATTCTTTTAAGTGAGAACATACACTATTTTACTTTCTGTTTCTGAGTTATTACACTTAGGATAATGGCTTCCACTTCCATCCACGCTGCTACAAAAGATATGATTTCAGTCTTTTTTTATGGCTGAGTAATATTCCATGGTATATATGTTTTCTTTATCCAGTCCTCTGTTGATGGAGACTTAGGGTGATTCCGTCTTTGCTATTGTGAGTAGTGCTGCAATAGACATACAAGTGCAGATATCTTTTTGATGTAATGATTTCCCTCCCTTTGGATATATACCCAGTAGTGGATTACTGGATCAAATGGTAGATCTATTTTTAGTTCTTTCAGAAATCTTCATCAGGTCTTTATGGCTGCACTTTAGGCATCTGCATCAGTGCGTTTAAAGATGCTGGGGAGCAGGGCTTTTCGAACTTCAATGTGCATTCGGATGAACTGGTGATCTTGTTAAAATGCAGATTCCGATTCTGTGGGTCTAGGATGGGGCCTGAGAGTCTGCATTTCTAGCCAGCTCTCAGGTGATGCCATTGGTGCTGGTTCATGGGCAAATCTTAGAGAGGTGAGACTATAGCCTTCTTCTGCAAGATACCTGCACACAGCCATCAAGCCTGTCCCAACACATGCCGGCCTATGTGACCTCTTTAGGTTCTCTACTTAGCCTGCTATTTGTCATAACCCAATTCTGTTTTCTTACAGCAAATCTTAGTGAAAAGGCTCTGGTCTTGAGAGAAGAGCAATCCAATTTTAATGAAATCAAGGCAGGATAGACCTAGACACAAGATATTATCCACAAAGACACCTCTTTACCTGCCAGCCCTCATTGGCTTCTTACTAGTTATTTAAACTTCCAAGTAGAAAATTGTTCATTACTCAGATTTAGAACAGCCTAGAAGAGTACAATGATTGTTAATTTTCAAAGTCTTGAGTATTGAGGTGGCAATTTTTGGAGATTTGGTTCAAGACAAGAACATCTCTGCTCCTATCTATTCATTCTTCTTGTCACTCCGATTAAATGTCATTCCTTTTTGTTTGTTTGATTTATGTTTCTTAGGAAACCACCTGAACTGTTTTCTGGAATGAATTGGGTGTATATTAGCAAATTATTTACGTAAACATTTATTCTTTCAACACTGAGTGTCCACTACGTATAAAAAATTGTGGTAGTGACTTTGCTTCTAAGTTAGTAAAGCAAACCATTAACCTCTGTGGGTTTTCATTTCACATCTGAATAATGAAGGGCTGGACTGGATGATCCTGAGCTGTCTGAGAGTGTGTCATTCTAAGAACGGGGAGAAGCTGAAGCAGTAACATTCTGTCTGTTTGTGGCTTTTTACTGCCCAACACAAAGGCTTTTCTTAGCTTTTTCTTTTTCACAGCGAAGCAGAGAAGACATGCATCTTTCTGTTTGTGTGTTTCATGGCCATGGGGCGATAAATGAGGAAGGAGTGCTTCCCTATGGTAACGTGGCTTTTTTTTTTTTTTTTTTTCCTTGAGTAGAAGAGTATTCTTATTAAAAAAAACCCTACACAGTATTTCTATATGTAAAAGCGAGCCCATCCTGTGGGCCTTCCCTTTGCCCCCCGAGGGGGTTCCAAAGACACCCTAGATCTCTGTGGAAGACAGATGGAAAACCACTGTCCTTAAGTAAGTTCTCTAAGAGCCAGACTCCAAACCGCTCCATGCTGCTTCTGCGTACATAGTGCTGGGGGTGGGAAATCTAATTTAGGAAGTAAATATTTCAGGGCGTGGAAATCTGAGTACCTCTAGGGACATGAGGAATGAGGAGTACAGAGGGGCCATTTCCTTTTGAGGACAGTAAGGGAAACAGGTAGGGCCTGGCACCTGTGCACAAAGCTGAACAGAGCAGGCCTTTAACGCCTCACAGTTCTTCCTGTGCAAGGGATGGATTTTATTTTCATAATGGAGAGGCTGACCCCTGGCTGGGCATGAAGCGAGAATGAGGGGTGGGGAAAGAGCAGGAGAGAGGGAGAAGGAGACAAAGAGAGAGGCAAGGAGAGAGAGAGAGAGAAAGAGAG